GGCGCTATTTCAGAAAATAAGCCACGCCCACCGGATGTTCACATCACATTTGTTTGGGGGGCCGGACTAGGATCACTCCCAAGAAGTTTCGTGTTGATATCTCTAGAAATGACGAAATGGGAGGCAAACGTAAGGCCACGTCGGTACGCCTGACTGCGCCGCCACAGCCCTGCCTTCTGCAGAAAACTCCCATAAAGTGACGCCAAGAAACCCCAACTTGTCTTCAGTTACCTGCTACAAATTTGGGGTGATTATTTGAAAGGGCGAATTTTGGAAAATTTCCCAGTAAAACTTGACCTTTTAAGTCCTGAGGGGGCGGGGCTTATGTGACATCATCAATCGACCATTCATTTGTCTTCGGAGGGCGATGACGATTGTCCATAGAACATTTCTTTAACTGTAATTCTTTCATTTATGAAATTATAGCAATTTGAAATTTTTTGGCGAGTGCTCGAACTTTGAGACCTGGTCCCGCCCCTTCAGTATTTACGAAAAGTCAATTTTATTGTCTCATTTTAATCGTCCATTGCTTCTGTTCGATCGCACACTATTTTTGAGACGATCGTGCGAAAAATGACCAAACTGTTCAACCCAATATAGACCCTAGAAATGGCCAAAACGGGGTCAAAATGGCCACTTTAGTCCAAAATGGCCGACTTCCTGTTTGATATTGACCATGGGTGCAAGAGGCTTTTCTGTGCGTATTGTTGAGTTCTACAAGTGTACCAAATTTCATCACTCTACTATGAAAAAAGGTCAAAGCGGAGGGGTATTTTAAATTTTCCAGGGGGCGCTGTCGAAACATGTTTTTTACCAACTTTCACGTTGCCAGTGAAATACGTAAATTTCACGCACTTTCTATATTGGGCCAGAATTTGGTGAGTTTTTGGATATGCTAAGACCCCCTAAAGGCCATCCAAAGACGCGGAAGAAAAAAAAAGAAAAAAGAAAGAAAAAGAAACGGAGCAGATACAATAGGCCTTCGCAGCGCTTCGCTGCTCGGGCCTAATTAAAACCCTGCCCCATCACCCACCGTGCAACACTGATCAAACTAAATAAAAGGAAATAAACAAAACAGGTGAGAAAGTGACACAAAATGAATACACTAAAAAGATTTTAGAAGAAGAAAAAATTCAAAATATTATGGACATTTTTCAATAGAAACACCATCAAAAAACAATCAAATCGTCGACCATACATTATTGAAATTATTGACTGAGACCCTCAAAGTATTTTTAATTCTCTCAAGGTGCATGAGTCATACGTAGTCTCCACAACCCCGTGGCCAAATGTTGGTGGGTGACAGTCTTTCCATGGATGAGTCTCTTAGCCAGCAAACAAAAAAAGCAATCATGTACAGTTGGCACTTGTCCAAAGAGACATCCATTGCAACTAACCCAAATGAAACGTTCAAGAGGTCAGGATACGCATTGATCCCACAGATTCTGGAGAGCGCATCACATTTCAAATCCAAGTTTGGTTTAATTTTAGATAGTTTGTCCTTGGATCAATGCAAAGGGTGAACCACTTTAAATCAAATTACACTATTAGGCCTTTTCCAATGGCCCTACTCAGCATGACTCTGGGCGGTGTGGTTCAGTCTGGCAGCTTTTTCCTACAGCAAGGTTCAATATTTCCCCCCTACTTTCCCTCTACTTTTCAGTCCCTGCTCCATTTTGGCTCCTAGGGCTAAGACGGGCCGGCATCGCAACTGTCAGTTGCTGATTGGCTCAGGGGCGGGGGTCACTGGTTGCTCCAGAGCTTTCTGGCTGCTGCCATCAGCCATAAAACTGAACAGAATGTTCAACATCACCACTGTTTTTGTGCTGAGTTGTGTTTCTGTGTAGCATACAGGTCACCTCCCAGTGTTTATGATCACCTTGTGCTATTTTTGTATCAAATAAAGGCTCCCCCGCCGAGCAAGTGCAGAAGCCTCCACTGCCCCACACGCTTTGAGAAGCGCACCCACTTTTGAGGTGAGTTGAGTTAACCCATGCTGTACTGAGCTGTTTCAGGGTATATAGTGCTGTTGGAAAAGACCTATATATCTCACACGGATCGAGTATTTGTGAATATTCCATAACATTTTGTGCCGGACTCCAACAGTCCAATACCTAGGTCCCATTTTTGTTTCACAACATCCTGACTACTTTGATGGTGTAAGCTGAGCTGGGTGTAAAGTTTACTCTAAACTCTCCTAGTAGTTGTCCAATAGTCTAAAATTGCATCAAGAAGAGTCTGTGATGGGTACGGGGAAAACATTCAGAGTTGGATTTGACAAAGTGTCTCAGTTGTGAAAAGCCAGACCTATAATTTGTGGATATGAAAGTTGGCCACCAATTGTTCAAAAGAGGCAAATGTACTGTGATGGGCAGAAGACGGAAGCTGCCGGGCTCTGAGGGTGTGGTGATTGGACACCAGCTGGTCCTCGTTATCCATAACGAGGCCAGGGAGGATAAAAAGGTGACAGGTCTGCTGAGAGGTGTGCGTGGTCGACCTGTCATTGTGGCATCGGACTTTGGGGGGTGGGGTCGTTCGCAGCCGGTTAGGGCTGCCGGCGACGAAGATAGCTAAACAGGTGTTTAGAGTTCCAGCGTCAGGAGGGAAGGCTGGTCGCCTTCTTTAGACAGCAAGGGCTGGGCATAGGTGATGCCAAGGTCACGCCGACATCTGCCGCTACGGACTCTGGCAGTGGACTTATGTTGTGGATGTACCCGCCGTCCTCGCAAGCTACACCCCGGGGCGTTGGACGGCATTGGAAGCTCAGACCCCGGGGACGGGGGTCACCACATCTGAGACAGCTAAGTACCGCTGCTTGTGTGACTCATGCTGGACTGTTGGTTTTAGAAGAGAGGGCTTGGGCCATGGTGTTTTATCGTTGTATCTTATTGAGTGTGCAATAAAGCGTCTTTTATAAGTCGTTGCCTACTGGTGGTGTTTTCAGGTTCTGTCTGGAGGGCAAGATATTCTGCCCGTGCTGCCCACGGCTACTTTTATTACAGTACCATCAACATACAAGTCACAGAGAAAATGTATGCCTTTAGCACCCACCTGTTAAAGGTCTTATCAGAAACAGTGGGAATACACATGTGGTTCTTTGTCTCAGGGGCAGCAAATGATAATTCAGTGAGACCAAACAACCATCTACCGATCTGATTCAGATCTTAATTGTCTGAACAACATTGGGATTGGCCAAGAATGAAAATATCGGGCTTCGAAAGAAGCACCCAACTCAGCACATCAGCACCCCGCTCACATTTAAATCTCATCAGAGTCTCAAAGAGGAAGTCCCACTCCAGCCGATGAAACACCTTCTCAGCACCTAAAAGTACTACTTCAACCTTTTGGTCTGGTGGAGCAGGCGTTTACAGTACACTGAACAGATGTCTAATATTGAAAAAGGATTGATCCTTCACACACCCTGTCCAGTCAGGTGACATGAAAATAGTAATAATAATGCATTGAACTTATATAGCGCTTTTTAGGACACTCAAAGACGCTTTAACACACTCACACTCACACACTGCTAGTGGTGGTAAGCTACTGTGTAGCCACAGCGACCCTGGGGCGGTCTGACAGAGGTGAGGCTGCCATTTGGTGCTGTCGGCCCCTCTGACCACCACCAACATAGGCAAGTTGGGTGAAGTGTCTTGCCCAAGGACACAACAGCAGAATACACCAGGCAGGAGCTGGAATTGAACCCATGACCCTCCGACCATGGGGCAACCCGCTCTACCACCTGAGCTACTGCTGCCTCTAACTGATACCAGGTAGCCCCTTCTTGAGGTGGACACACTAATTTTGAGAAGCAAAGATTTCAACTGCAAGATTCCAAGGTCATATTTATTCCTCTAAGATCACTTTTTTATATGGACAATAATGTTTATACTTGTTTAGCTGTAGAGTCTGTTAATAAATGCTCTACATTTACAAAGTCACCTCTAAGTTATTCTCAGCAGAGCAGCACCAGGCTCTCCTCCCTGATGAGATCTCAGAGCTCAGCTTTATGGGTTTGACTAGTTTGTGCTCAATGATGTAGTTGAGTTGTCATATTGATATAGTGGGCCCACATCGTTTGGAGCTATAAAAACTGCTGATGCTCTGTAATATATGATGTATTGTATGTGATGTGGCATAGCGCACAGAGGGAACTTCGTGATGCATTGGAGGAGATTGAATTAAACCACTGTCGTTAATGTGACACAAGGAGAATCAAAGAAATGAAGGTTCAAAAACATGGCAGGGATGTTCACTGAGCTCCAGAGAGGAGTTCACATTTAGATAGATGTGTTCCTTTACATGGTATTAAAGGAACACATGGACAGTATGGCGCTGTGGAGAATGTGTCTAAGATTTCTGTTTTAGCCATTTTTAGAAATTAAAATTTTCAGATCAATAAACAAATATCAAATCCTGACAAAGGCAAGCTGTGTAAATCACAAATGCAGCTTTCAAAAGGAGTTTTAAATAAGTTCAGTTTGATTTGGATGTTGTTTTTTTTCTTGTAATACAAAACAAATTATCATTTGAAAACTACTTTTGTACTTACTCAGGCTTTTTTAGTCCGATATTGAAATTTGTAAGCTGGTATGCTACAGCGAAACGTTTATTCTGTCAACTGAAACCATCTCAATGTGCAATGTGGTTTATGCGATGGTGGCAGAGAAGTTAGGTGCCTTCCCCGTAACCGAAGTCCCGTCCGTTGCACTGAAGTCAAGGTCTGGCCTGCTTGTGGTAGTCGGAGGGATCGGTGGTGCAAGTGCTCGGTAGCCTTGCTTCTGTCAGTGAGCTCCAGGGTGGCTGTGGCTACATTGTAGCTCATCACTACCAGTGTGTGTGTGTGTGTGTGTGTGTGTGTGTGTGTTTGTGTGTGTGTGAATGACTATGTATATGGCAAAGTGCCTTGGGGAGTTCAAATACAGGCCAATTACCAGTTAACATCATAAGTACTGTAGGTTCAGACATGAAATGGACAAATACAAAAAAGTACAAAAATCAGCTGAGTTTTTTTCCCAGAACTTTATTTCAAATACATAATGTAGTGGTTTCTTTGTGTTCTACAGCAGCACAGTGCAAGCATTGATTTGGTGTCAAAGTGATGCAAGAACAACTATTCAAGGCAAACTCATTGCTGAAGGAAGGAAGCAGAAAGAAGTACTAATATATAATTTTGTTAAACTATTGTTTCATACACTTTCATTTGCCTCAAATGTTGATCTGCCATCACCTTAGGGTCTGTAAGCCCTGCAAAGTAAACATGTGTGGCTACAAAGAGGAAGCAGCATCTCATGAAATGTGACATTACAGCTTTTCTGACTTTAGAACTAAGACAAAACATCACTTTATTGTAGTTCCTAACTGGCTGATTGTATTACATGAATAGTACATATATGACATGAATATTACATATATGATGTGCAAAACCCACTCATCACTGTTGAGAGAACAATTTTACTTTCCAGTCAGAGATAAGTTCAGTTTTTAAAACATCTCACCTAATTGACTTTAACTATAATCTTCTAATAGTATATACAATTGCACAATTACTCTCAGTTATTTTATAATCTCTAAAAAATATTTTTCATTTTGAATTCCACTTAAAGTTAAACAATATAGAGTGTAAGATTATATTTTTCTCTATGGTACAAAATATTCATGATTTGGTAAATATCAATTACATCAAAGTGCAACTAAATAACTTCAACACGTTAAAATTTGTGCAGGGAAAAGCACAAAATGAAATGGATTAGCAATCAAATATGTGCATTACTTTGTCTGACAGATTGTTTCACTTGACGGCTGCAGAAAGTGATCGGCATGCTTCGACTCACGATGCTTTTTTCTGTAATAAGCTAAATACTACATCTGTTTTTAAATCAGACAATGCTTTTTTCCTCTTTTTGACATGTGATACGTAACATGCATGAATGGCGGTATAGTAAAATATTAATGCGTCAGCTGCCAGACATTATACCAGCTTTAGTGGATATTCCCACCTCAAGAATAAACATAAGTTTATTAGTACTGCATTGTGTGTACTTCTCATGATTGTAAACACTTTATTGTTGGTCATTTGGTATTATTTTCTAAAGGTTTATTTTTGGCAGGTGTTAAGCTTGTATTAGTGTGTGTTATGGGTTAATTATTACTAAAACTATTTGCACCTTTGTTACATGTTCACATAAATATTAACAAAGGTCCACGCTGTCATATAACGAATATCTGTGGACGCAAATGTCAGTTTCTCAACTTTGATATGTATCATTATACAGTTAATAATGCATTTTATCTCTAACTACAGCACACACTCCATAGCAAATGGTGGATTTGTGTGTGTGGCAAAAGTCTGTGTGGAAAGTCTCCATGGCACTAACGTTTCTCACTTTTCATGATGTGCAAGTGACTTTATGTTTTACTGGAGCTGCAAGTTTTGTAAGTATTTTATATCAGTATATTAAAGCTCCATGTTAACACAAAAAAAAGAACATGCCTCCTTTTTGGGGTAATTTATCAAATACTCTTACTTGTTACTTTATTAGGTACAACACCTTGCTAGTAGGGATGTGTATTGGTGAAATTCTGGTGATACGATATTTCACGATTCATTGCGATACATTCAGCCAGACGATATTAGCGATTTTTTTAGACTGAAATTATTGTAGGAAAATTCAATAAACAGTCCTAATTGATAAGTAACATGTTTAACATGAGGTATCTGAACCATAATAGAGGGATTTACATTTCAATGGTGGGAACAAACCCCAGCCTTACGCTCCATGAAGGCCACAAATCGCAGACTGGAAAGACTCTATAGGAAAACTGGCCTCACCATCCATATGGACTACTACACTGCCCAGATCGCACTCTATAAGGACACCATCATCCACGCCAAATCACAGTTTTATTCCAACCTCATTTGTTCCAACTCTGCTAACAATAAGACTCTATTTTCTATCTTTAACAAGATTTTTCAGCCACCGGACTCACTGCCTATCCACTTATACTTCACGGACACCTGTAACTCCCTCCTCCAGTTCTTCAATGATAAGGTCCACAGAATGCACCATAACCTTGGTACTCACCCTCTGCCTGATCCCTCTGCTGACCTCTTTAATCCCTCCCTTCACTTTGCCTCCTTTAAATTACCTCACCCATCAGAAATCTCTGAACTAATCTCAAAGTCGAAACCTTCCACCTGTTTGTTAGATCCCCTTCCCACAGTCCTTGTTAAATCATGCCTCCCGTCTCTGCTCCCTTTCATTACAGCAATTATTCATTCTTCATTATCATCTGGAACAGTTGCTTCTCCTTTTAAATCTGCAGCAGTCAGTTCCATAACAAAAAAGCCTGGTTTAGATCCTAATGACTTCAATAACCTCCGTCCCATCTCACACCTTCTCTTCATTGCAAAAGTTTTAGAGAAAACTGTGGCATCACAACTTCATTCCCATCTCACATGTAATAAGCTCTATGAACATTTTCAGTCTGGCTTCCGCCCACCTCACAGCACCAAAACCGCTCTCATTCGTATAACTAATGATTTACTTCTTGCTGCTGATTCTGGTCTCATTTCTATTCTCATTCTACTTTAC